AATGTTAACCTAAATTATAAAATTAATTTCACTATCCTAGCTACACTAGAAATATCCAAAGGCAAACATATATCAGTTATACCAATAGTTAGTTGTAAAGTGTTATTGATTAATTTATTTATAAAATAACATAAAATGAAATTATTTTATTGTGTATTTAGTTGTGCTGTTAAAGCAAAGGCAATACAAAAACATTTAAACATTTTAGCACTTTATTTGCTCTATAAAATCATTTATTAAACAAATATAAAATGCATTTTCATTTTAATTTATTACACTGCTTTTAAATGAGTTGCCTTAAACTGAGTTGCCGTTGGTGTCAACAATGCCCCCTCTATTGTACTGTTTTAGCATGCGTTGTTTATTAACACGGCATCTCAGTTTAAGGCAACTCATTTAAAAGCAGTGTTAGTTTATTTGTGTTTTGCAAAACATGTTTATGTAAAACAAATTTAATATAATTTTTTATTATAAAAAAAATTCTACTTATTACTATAAAAATTGCAGTGCAGACAAAAGTTACATAAAAGTTATAACTTATAAACTTAATTATAATTTAACGTAGATACATAACATTTTACAATTAAGATTAAATAATATAATCTTGAGCATTATGTGTGATCTAAACACATGTCAAGCTATACATCCCTTTTGCATCATATTTCTCATATCGGGATTCAATCTCTTCTTCATCGCCGGAAAGGGAAAGACAATCAAAACTATAATTCAATACACGTTTTGCGTGATAGCAATCGTACGCATAATATATGGCTTTTATAACACCATTATATTTATTACACAATCGTTGCCAACAAATCTATTCCGGATCTCAATCCTCATAAAACTGACCCTCATTTCCGTCACTTATGGCTACTTTGCTATCAAAGAGACACAAATCAAGTCAACGATTGTTAGCGTTGCCAACGACTTATCCGACGGACAACTGGTGGCCGCCAAACGCTACGCGTATGTCATGGCTATTATATGGCTCTCATTCATAGCCACACACATTGTATCCCTGTTTATACAGTACCGTAACGATACCCTGTTAACGATCATCATGGAATCACTTTGGACATTCTACTTGTTTGGCTGGATGATCGTAACACCACTGCTAATCACTCTAGTTTGCCACATGGTTTACCTATTGGAACGAGATTTACCATGGCGATCGTTGGTAATCACCAAGCTCAATTGCGAAAAACTGGAACAAAGTATCGCGCTAATACAAAAGCACCGGGAGGCAATCAATATCACTTTTGGCATATTCCCATTCGTGTGGTTTACATCAGTATTTCTTACCACGTGTTCTCGGCTAACATTTATCGTGGTCAATGACGGGCATAATGTAATCTATCACAACCTGTTTGAATACGCGATGTTGGTGATGGTCAATTTGATTTACTTGTTTGCCATCCATTACTATCAAACCTATAGACCGACAGTCAATGAATTGCTATTGTCTTACGGGAAGAGCTATTCATTGATGGACGCGAGGGAACTGATGGTCAGGAATATTGTCAATGAAAGCCTGAAGCGATGGTCCGACAGTCAGTACACGGCTTTCAACGCATTTGCCATTGATATGAAGTTTTTGTTCACATTTATCGGTTCAGTCATCACTTTTACCGTTATGTTAATTCAGGTTATAAATGCAAAATAATCTCCACTGTACATTACTATACATTATACACTATACATTACTATTCACAAATTACTTAAATAAGATTTTCAGTATAATTTGGCATTAGTAATTGTAAATTCATAAACAATTCAAATCAAATCAATCAAATCAAATCATATTTTATTTAGAGAGTCAAGTATTCACCATTAGCGGTGATGTTCTTTACATAGGCTCTTAATTACAATACAATTACATATATATTTTTTAGTGTTTACACAGTACATATTACATTACAAATTACATATATATTTATATTCTGTTGTTGATGTAAGCGATGTCATGTTGCGTGTCATGTCAGTGGTATGTGACGTGTTGTATTGTTCTTTCGNTGTCAGTGGTATGTGACGTGTTGTATTGTTCTTTCGAATTACTGGAAATTCTTGGAATTCATCTTCCATAAGACAAGGAGTCATATTACTGGGAGTCGAACTCCCATCCTCTAGGCCCGGGAATACAGGATGTGCAGCTCATTTCAAAGTCCAAAGACTATGAAAAACCAGTATTGAGCCACACTCCCGGCCTCGGCCTTGGGTGCAATTCATTAGTGTTATTAAGATATTTATTTATTATGATTAAAATTAACGTCTAGTAATATTAACTAACATTAGTTTTGGTGTTAATAATGCACTGCCATTGAAATACTCCATCTATAAACGTATCACAAAATAAATGTAATTTTAAAAATAATTTATTAACTAAGCAATTAAAACACAATTAAAACTAACCTGAAATCCGGGCGCGAGTGTAAACTCAAATCGGTGTACAACATTTGCGATACACATTCGCATCTTATTTAAGGCAAACCTCATACCAACGCACAGTCGAGGGCCGCCACCAAAGGGTATGTACGCTTACGGGTGGTGCGTGGGGTTGAAAAACCTTTCCGGTTTAAATTGATCAGGGTCGGGGAAATGCTCAGGTAATTGGTGCATTACATATGGGTACATTTCAATAGTAGTACCAGCCTCTATAGTTATGCCTATGAAAATAAACATGCTATTCCATTTTTAAAAATAAATTATGTAATTTAAATGTTTCTTAGATATCGGTATTTTCCAGTTTGTAGTCCTGTTTGCATTCCTGTTGAATACTAGTCAAGGGTGGGGCCAGTCGTAGGGTCTCATCGATGACTGCATTTAAATATTGGCATTGATTTAGGTTTTCATACGTGAAGTCTGTGTCCAAAGCGTTGAGTTCTTCCCTCAGAATCTGTTGTTTGTCTTTGTTTTGAGACAAATAATAGACGACATGAGAGAGCGAAGCGCTGGTCATGTCGTAACCCAAGCAGTAAATTTAAGTAATTTACTTTCATCGTAATTAACAAGCAATTTTTTTTTGTTTAATTACATTAATAATATTTTTCTAATCAATTGTCTTATTATAAATTGAATTCTATTTTATAACTTGTATTTTATTACGTGTTATTTGAAATAAAATGTATTAATTAATTATTTTTAACCACTATTCTGATATGAATAATGTGGTTTAAAGGATCGTTCTTTTTTTTCTTTTTTTTGTATGTTTACAAATATTTTATATAGCATTAAAAATATGTCTTTCATTAATTTTTATTTTATTGATTCCTAAGATATAAAGTAATATAAAATATTTAACTTAACTTTTATCTGTTTAAAAGTTTTAAATTAAGTGTTTTAGTTTGAACATCATGGTAACTTCACTATCACTGCCATTTCAGTGCATTGTATGGGCAAAGCTTCATATTAAAATTTTATTTAAAAATTAATTAATTATATATTTTATTGTAAAATATTATAAAATACATTTTACAGTATTTTCAATAACAAGCTTTTCATTGATTTTTGTCTTTAGAAATAATTAAACATGTATTGAATTTTAATAATTTTTTAATTTTTCACTTTTACCATGGTTCTATCACGACACTAGCCCTAGCGTGAATAGTTTAGGCGTAACGTTATATTTTGATTGCATAAAATATTATTAATACTAATAATAGCTATTTATTATAAAATATTACAAAGAAGGATGGGCATCTGTGGGATAGCGGGCAACCGGGAATTATTGTTATAAAATGAAAGTACACTCAATGGGTAGTCGAGTGATATACTTCATGTGTCCAGATACTTTCGGGTCTGGCCGTAGTGACCACTTTTATCGGTAAAATTTTGAAAATCAAATCTTTTATTTTATAAATAAGCATGTCATATTATATATCAATGGAAAGGTATGAATGAGTAGAATCGAAATCCGAAGGAATTTCTCAAATCTCACATAATCGATAAAAGTTATATCAAAATTAAGAAATTTAGTATCAGTTATGTACGTTTTTATAGTGATTAACGTAATTACCGAACATCATTTATATCAATTTTAAATATGCTTACAATGATAATTCATTTCGCAAATTTAAAATTTTTTTTAAAAATTTAAATAAAATTTTTGGCATTTTCACCATTATTTTTGCGCAAACTTCTTTGTGTCTGTTTTTACACTCAACTCCTCATAGGATTTATAGCATAGGGAGGGGAGGATGGCACTAATTACAGTGAATAGGCCCTCGCTATGGGCGGAGTATAGGTACAGTTGGATTGGTTGAGACGGGCACTTGAGTGACCTCACCAATACACAGTTCAATTCTCTATCGCATTGCAAGTAATTTATTGTTTGAATGTTTGGCGCATTTGTTTGAGTCGTTTGTGTGAATCGTTTCAATCATTTTTACCGTTAAATCATTTTTCGTTTCAAACCTTTGATTCACTCATTAATTAACGTTTTCTCATATATTTGACACAATTTGACCACAATTTCTGTTTTCAATACCTATTATTCAACTGAATCTCAATTTAACGGTAAGTATTGAATTGAATTCAATGTTTGAATTAATGTTGAAATGAAATGAACTGTAAATGTCTTTTAAATGGTGTGATATTGAAGGCCGAAGAATGTCTGCATTGAATTACGAACAGGAAAACAATGGTTTGGATCAGCTCACAGACAATCGACACAACGCTCTCAAAATGCAAACCACAGGTCAGACCGAGTCTTAACTAATCATTAAATAACTTGTAAATTGTGTTGACATTAGAAATGAAAGCGAAGTCACGCCAAGTGTTGACAACACCGGCGGCTAAAGGATTGCTGTCATCGAAGACACCGTTTGGAAAGTCTTCGCGAAAGGCTTTCGGAAACGTTAGTAATGTTTTGCGATCGGAAACAAAGCCGTCGTCGAGTATAAGCGGCAAAATGCAGACCAAAGACCAAACGGTTATGAAAGCCGACCAACAGTTGAAGAACGCGTCCCAATTGGATGAGAAGAACGGGTTGACTGGTGTGGACACCAACTCTTCAACTGATGCCAAGTATAGTTCGGAAATAGAAAGCATGTATCCATTGGAAGAGGAATTAATGTCTGACACCAATGATTCCATCACAAGAGGTCTCTTCGATATCGACGACCAAATCGTGTTTGGAATGCAATTCGATTCAGATTTGCCCCAAAGTTTGGCCCCAAAGACACGAACCTTTGATTTTAATCATTTCATTTAAATGTCTCTAAAATGTATTAACATTTCCTTAATTTAGTT